TTACTATAGTCAGGTACTTTATTATTTTCCGCGCATAAAATTCGCATCCGGTAGATATAAATACGGATCGATGCCACATAAGCTTTACATGTCTGCAACGTTATGGCAGAAAGCAACCTAGGGTTGGCAATCAGGTCAAAAAAAGCCCAGAGCTGGCATCATACTACAAGACAAATATGAAATATCAATGAATAGTACTGACTTCAAATGAATATTATATATAGCAAGCTGCAACCCCAAACCAGGCAGAAAATGAGAAAATTATACCTTACATATTTAAAGCAAATGTTTTTTTCCCAACACATACACGTACATATCATTTTAGAATGATTAAGTTGAAGTTCTCACAATACATAAAATTAAATATCTCAGGTTATTGATAACTAATTATCAATAAATCTTATGATATTTAATTATATTGGAAGAGATTTTGTTATACTTTTTTTTTTAAAGAAAAATACACACTGCTTTGGTTTTCTAGTAGCAAGGTAATACTGCATCTTCACTGGTCATTATTGTCATCCCCATAGAGCAACTCAAAGTCTCAAACCCTAACACACAGGGACACGTACGTACAAAAAGATCGAGATCGAACACAGTTCGTATAGGACAGGAAGAGAGAGAACACCACATCTAATTAAATCCCATTTTCTCCTCCAAATATTTCTTCCTTCCAAATCTGCAAGGTGAGAGAATGAAGAAACGCAAAAAAGAAAATTTCAACAGCCCTTAACTTATGAGACAGCCAAATATAACAAGAAAAGGAGTTTCACAATAACGTGCGCACCAGATAATAAAATGCGCCGTGCTGGAGAGGCTGGACAGTGATGCCCCATTCGTCGACTAGCACCGGCTGACCGGAGGCGTGGATGAGCACGGCATCATCCGGCCTCCACGCCAAGGCTCCCGCAAGTTGAGGGGTCCCATACCCACTTCAAATGCGACGTCGTTAATGAACACCGTGGATTTCATCGTACCTCCAGGTGGGCCCTCTTCCGTCCCTGCCTCACACCCCAAACCAGATCGTTCCATTAGTCATCAAAATAACCTAACCATGCACACGTTCATACCAACACAAGCAAACAAACTAAATGAAAGACCTTGAATCTGCGCGAGATGGGTGTTGGGACAGTAGTGTGAGTGGCCGGAAGTGTTTGTGGGATCTGCATAACCTTCTCTTGGTCAGTCTTGGAAGGTGAATGGATCATGATTTCGTTCAGCAGAAGACTAGTGCAAGACCCAACATTGATTTGCTGAGCATGATCACGAGGACCTTCAGGTTGAGCCACACCTGATAGTTCAGAAAGGCAAAACCCTTGTGTAGTATTAGGAACAGGAATAGCATTAGCCAGAACTCCTCCACTTTGCAGCTGCAAAGGAAAGAAGAAAGGCTGGGCGGCGGATCAGAAGAAATGGGAACTACAACATGAAGGGACGTTAGAGAAGGAATTGATATTATTAGACACTAATCCCTTTGTGGATGGTATTATGATTTCCTTGGGATCAGAGGGATTGGAAAGGTTTTGGGTTTTTGATGGGCGTTATCAGAAAAGTTTTGGTTTTGGAGGTGACGAAGCTTGTGCTTGGATCTGGATTTACGGTTCTGGAACCAGTAGTAAGAACATTGGCATCACCGACTTGGCCATACTCTTGAAGTTGGGCTCTGATCTTCCTAATCTCATCTCTTGGAGGGTTCACCATCCCTGAGTTGAAGATGGCTTCCAGTATACGAATCTGCTCTGGTTTTGGGTTCCATCTCGGCTTTGGCTCTGCACTCCTCTCCTCTTCAACTCCTACTACAGACCCAAATGTGTACATACATGTAAGTTAAATTAATTTGGAAGCTTATCAATTATCATATATTAAATATTAACAGTGTTAAACTTGATTACAAACCTGATGTGTAAGTGGTTCTGTGGCAGCTTGATTGAAGTGAGATTAAAGAGGAGGATTTGAAGCTGTCGTGCTTCCATTGATGGTGGTGGAGGGAGTTGCAAGGCTTGGACTTGAACATGCTTGGCCAGTGTCTGTTAGAGTTATTAGAAGAAGCCATGATTGTTGAAGACGATCACCGAACTGAGGTCTGAATATTTAACCCAAAGAGAGAACCTAATCTGTATCAGGAATAGCTTGCCTTTTGTTCCTCAAGGCTAGCTAATAACTTCCAACATAATCTCTTAGATATATATACTCACTCTTGACTTATCCACCTCTGGCTGTTGTCCTTGATCTATTTTATCAGTTATTTAAGAAGTCACCTATAATTTAAGCAAGTGAAAAATCAGAAACAGGAAAGAGATATATAATTAAATGAAAAGGAGAACGGAGACAAGAAAAAAGTACCAATGCTACCCATTCCCTGCTCTTCCTTTTCAATTACCTTTGCATTAATAGATATCGAGGGAAAAGCAGGTTACTGTAAATTAAAAAGTAGAAGGGAATTGCCTCAGGACGAGAAGCAAATAGAGCAAGGAAAGGGAAATATGCTGGGGACTGAATTAGGAATCTTGGCTTCAGAGAGATGGCAGAGAAAGCTGTAATAAAAATGGAAGGAGAAGCTTTTTTCAGAAGAGGGTGGGTTTCTGATGAGTTTGTCTCTTTTCTTTTTAACTTCCAGATTCTCGTGTTGCTGGCTTTGCTTAGCTCGTAGGTGTATTAATGGTGGGGGAAGAGGCGGGAAGAGAGAGATTATTCTAATGGAGGAGATTGTTGATGAAGAATAAATAAGGATGGTTTCAAAGTCAAGAAGAGAAGAACGGGGATTTATAAGGTTTGATTGGAAATGGGTAGGAGAGTTAGTAATTGCATGAGACTGAGTTATTTTGAGTTTTGGATTGACTCGAGGGATCTTTATTGATTTGTAACTCTATTAATTTAAGCTTTTGCAGAATTTCATAACACCACCGATGAATTAATTCTCTATCTCTATCCAATCTCAATCAATCCAAGTATAGTTCTGACACGCGCGCGTCAACGAGTCTAGATACGCCTCAAGTTAATGTATTTTGGACTTTAACCCCCACATACAAACCCTTCACTCTGCCTGAATACATTGGTGTATATGTATCTTGATTAAGATTTCATTCGATATGATGGTGAAAAGAACAAGAATTTTTCATTTGATAATGGTAATAGTTAATAAGATAAAAATAAAGAAGATATATAGTGACAAATGATCATAGTATTCCCAAACCAAATAAAAACTACTGCCTCCTATTCTGAGTACATAAAATCTTTTTAACTAATTTGTAGTGATTTTTTGTTTTGGCATTTTGCTTTGTATATATAATTAATCAACCTAGTATTTTTTTTTTTAATAAATTACAAGTGACTCTCTTTTGTAACGCTTTTGGGTAATGATATAATTCTTACACTAAAAAAATAGTAAGTTATTAGATATTTGAAATTAACATATGCAGAGAATTTGTGATGATTTTTTTAGAAATACTCTTAAAATTTAATTATTAAAATCTAATTCAAAAAATCGAAAAATACCTCAATAAATAAGGTATTAAAGACAAGAAAATTTTAATACGTAAGAGATAAGAAAATGAAACTTCCTATTTAGAATCACACTATAATGCTTGTATTTGATAATTATATTAAAACAAACGCATACATCTAGGTTGACATTAAGGAGAAAATTTGTCTTTTCATATCATTTTCATCTTTTCATCATCCTCAGGGGGCCAATTGTCTTTTCCCCTTGGCCACCCAATAACATTCCTTCTGCTTTTTGGATGGAATAATCGGAACCATATTTAGCCCATCCCATGGCCATCACCTCCATTTTGTTTCCACCTTATTGGTTATAATTAGTCATAATTTGTCTCATGCTTAACATAAGCCAGACAAGTAGCTTTGTTTTGTCTTTTCTTTTTCCCCTTGACACATTCATGCGTGTCGCAAAGTGCATGTTGTGTGATGTTGATGTCAAACAACACGCGCTGTGCGTGTGAGAGAGAGAGAGTTGGGGGGGGGGGCTTAATACATGAAGATGGTAAACTGAGTCAAAAGATTGGGAATCAAAAGCATTAATGAATAGCATATCTACAGATTTTGACATATGACGTTCTCTGATCTGTGTTTAGGGGGAGACAGACAGGAAACGAGACAGAAGTGGGACTAAAATCGCATCAAACAAGTTTAGAAACTGAAGTAGGCCTTCCTGAGAACAAGTCCAAACTTGCTCTTCGACTTCTGCTTTTGGCCCTTTGCCCATAATTCCTTAGTACTTTCACACACTACACAGTTCACAAGTTCACAGTAAAGTGCAAATATTGGGCTTGGGTCATTATCATGAAGCCGAATAAATCAGTCCCTTCCGTACGACTAACCCATTCCTTTCGATTCATTTCCCCCTCTGCGACATTATTGGTCTCTTCCTTTCTACTCTACAGCCCCATCCTCTGCTTTGCTCATGCCCACGTTTACATTTATTGTTTCCATAACCTTTCTTTTAATCTTTTCTTTTCTGATTCTCATTCCTTTTTCTGTTCCTACCGTTTTGTCTGCACCAAAAATGACGCCAACATTAATCTCTTCAACTCTCTCATTCTTATGTTGCTGCTTGCTAGCTTCTCCCTCCCTCCCTCCCTCCCTCCTCTCTCTCTCTCTCTCTTCCTGGACTACCGCCTCAGTGTTAGTTTGATTTAGTTTGCACATGATATCAATAAATATTGAGTTTGGTGAGAATCTAAAGCAGCATGAGATGGACATGGGTGATGCAGCTTAAGTTGCGCTTTCACTAAATGCTAATGTGCCTGCAATTAATATTCAACATGCAATATATTGAATGCTTAATTTTGGTGCACGTGACTCCCCCATACATGTGTGTGTGTGTGTGGCGCGCGCGCAATGACTATTTTCTTGGGCATTTCATGAGAGATGGTGTAACTTTTATATTCCCACTGCAAATTTTGCCGTCTCCTTAAAAGATGCAAGTGGAAAATTTAAGAAAATATAAGTATCTAATCTTGATCTTAGGTAGATTCATGAGACGAGTTTGCAAAAAGAGAACTTCCAAGTACAGAACAAGAGAAATACAAGCTGCTAGGAAACTGCAGGATAACAGTTTAATTTAACTAAGGAGGACTAATCATTATTGAGACGAATTCCTTCCTCGGGCAAATATTCAAAATCACAAGAATTTTTTTTTTTTTTTTGTTGTATATTTAGAATCACTACCATTGATAAACGATAGGGTTTCAAATTTGTTTTATGGGAGAGTCAAAAAAGCTGAAACAAGAATGAGCACGTCCTTCTCTTGGGTTGTTTCCGCTTTGGCTTTAATGGCCTCAAAGCGACCTTGATTGCAGCATCAAAAACTTCTTCACGTTCTGAAACCAGGAGTATAAGAAAGAATAAAGCAACACTCTTCTTTACAAGTTGAATGCACTGTGTTTTTAAGATGCCTTTACCTGTTGCGTTTTGGAGCTGCATTCTATATATGTTACTGCCCCTATCAGTTTCTTGAGTTCTTCACCCTGTTCATACCAGCCATTTTGAATCCAGAAGAACTCTCAGAGATTTTATATTATATATATATATATATATGAATGGAAGTTTTGGAGATGTCACATGCCTGGGCAGTGGTTATTGGAGTGGCTTCTGGATGATCCTTCAGATATTGCTTGTCATCTCGCAAATCTATGGGCAAAAGTAGAAGGAAAATCAGTACAAGTTTTAAGGCAATGAGTTGAAGAAAGTGTTACAAGATTTCGATCGGGTATAGGTTTTGTCCTTCACTTCCTCTGTTTCTGCCATGGGGTATAACTGGGATAATTCAGAAAGAAAAATTGTGTTTGCACTGTACTAAACATAGTGCTATTATTCTTAATTACTGGATATCACCAGCTATTAATTTTACCTTGTTAGTTCTTTTATGTATATATTCCATGTCTACACTTTTTGTGACAAAGTATTGGCTTATAGAATCCCAAATATGAGGTATTTCAATGTCTGTACTTTTGGACCAAGACTTTTTGAAATTCTTATGTGATATTTAATGCATATGGGGGAAATGTTTTGTTCTGCTGGGAGGTGAAACAGAACAATATCATCACTGTATAATTACTATTGCTTCTTTGGTGAAACCATCTTACCTAGTTTTGTTCCAACTAGCACAACAGGCACATTTGGAGCATAATGTTGCAGCTCAGGTATCCACTGTCAGTCAAAGAATCCAACAATACCATCAAAGACAGTAAAAGTAAAAGTTGGTGATAGTAATCTGAGAAGAAACATAATTATTTTACAGAAGAAGTGGTTATAGACTTGTAAATAGAGAGAAGGAAGGCGAAAAGGAAAGGGAATGAAAAAAAACCTTCTTGGAAATGTTCTCATAACTGGCTTTGCTTGTGAGAGAGAAACACAGTAAAAACAGATCAGCTCCTCTGTAACTCAAAGGCCTTAGCCTGTTGTAATCTTCTTGCCCTGTAAAATCCATAAACTTTAACAATCACCATTCACCATCATGTAATAGAATTCATCCAATTTTCAGACCATCTCAGAAACCCACCTGCAGTGTCCCATAAGCCAAGATTCACAGAACTACCATCTACCATTACATTAGCACTGAAGTTATCAAACACCGTTGGAACGTAATCCTACCAATAAATAAAAACCACTAATCAGCTTCATTACTGGCTCTTTCAAGTTTCAAATCTGATTCACTTGCATATTGAGACACACAAAAATAGGGAAACATACTGTTGGGAAGGTATTGCTGGTGTAGGATATGAGCATGCAGGTTTTCCCCACAGCTCCATCTCCAACTGTTACACACTTGATAAATCTGGTAGTGATCATTGTCTTATCTTCTTCTTCCTCTCTTATGATCCTGAATGAGAAAAAAATTGCAGTGTACTTAATGGAGAGTTAGAATACTAAAATGCTCTGAAATATTTGGATGTGAAAGAAGTGGAAGGAGAGTCTTAAGTCTTAACAAGCCAGCAAGTGTTTCCTCTAATGATGGCACTAACGTGTAAAGCTTGTGTTTTCTTCAAGTGCAAGGACAATAACAGAGAGGCTAACAAGAGAAAGTAGGTATGGTGTTAGTTGGTTAAGTGTGTGAGAAGGGAGGGAAAGGATGATGAAAAGCTAGACATTTGCTTTTTAACCAATACGCTATGATGAAATTAAACAGTAAAATTAAGTGTGATTTGATGCAGAGAAGTCAAGATGTTAATTGTGATATATATCATGTGTGAATTAGTTTGGGCCCATAAAATTAGTTATGGGTGGTTAGCCCAAAAAAAAAAAAAACCTTGGCTATGGATGTCCCCAAGTGTTGTAGTTCTTGTAGGTACTTAACTTCTTATGTATTAAAGATTGAAGAATCAGACATGATTTTCTTTCTTCTTCTTTTTTTCATCCACGTGGATCTTCGTAATAAAAGCTATCATATTTAATCACGTCTAAAGTATTATTATACACTAAATGTGTGCATTTCTTTCCACAATATAAAAACTTTCTTTCACCTGTTGTGAAGGCTTAGCCTTTTTATTCGATCCAACTCTCATTAATTGAATTTTTTTTAATTTCCAAACTAAGGTGGTGGTTGCCGGTAGGACTATTTTGGCAAATAAAAAAGCAATAAATACCTATATCAGGACTTTAACCAGTAAGGCCACCAATTTGAAGGGGGGAAAAAAAAATCACCCGAAAATGATTTTTTGATGCCTCGTTCTGGAAAGGGCATTTGTGACCCTTCAGTTTGGAATGTAAATGCAATTTTGTCATTAAATATGCTTTTAATTGGTTGCTATCAGTAATGAATTTTTCCTTTCCATGTGTAATCTTACACCAAAATTAGGGCAGGTTCATGGCTCAAATCATTGGATTGAAATCCTCTGAAGTTAATATTAATGAATTTATGTAAAGTTTTCCTCTTTCAAAAAGGAAAGGAATATTTTATATTTTATAAAAAATAATAAAATGAATAAAAATACTAAAAAGAAAAAAAGAAAACTTCACACAAATTCACCAATCTCAACTTTAGAGGATTTGACCCAAATCATTGATAGAGCTACTTCCTGCCTCATGTCTGATTCTATTTTTCAAAAAAATTTACTACTTTTTTTCTGAGCAAAAGTTAAAAATTTTACCTTTAGTCTAGCTCTTCTCCAAAAAAAAGAAGCATGCATGCACACAAACATGTTAATGTAGAGTTCAAATGCGAGAACTCTTACAAATGAGAGAAGTGATATTGTCATTGAGATAACTAGTCATTAACATCCCTCATGTCTTGTATGTAAGGAAGAAAATAAATGATTTTTTTGTCATATTTATACACCATGCAATTAATTTATTTATAACAAATTTTACTTTTTACCTCCATAAAATTTAGTTAGAGAAAATATGTTATCAAAGCATTGATATGCAATACAGTCAAAGTCAAAACTTATTAAATTTTTAAACATATTTAATAAGTTTTAAGATTTTAATTAATTTCAGTAAAACATATTGAGAGTTACTCAAAAATAAGGACTATATATTATCCATTAATGAAGTTCTCGAGAAGAAAGAATTAATACATTAGATATTGGAATAATTACAATCAGGTCTTACATATGAAAATTAATTATCACAAGGTTCATTGATAACTGAACTAAACTGCATTGACAATAAGTTGTGGGAATTTTAATGTAATTCTCGCTTAAATATATATTAATGTAATTAATATATCATTATATATTAAATATATAGTGATATATTAATTAATTACCGAATGTGAGAAACGGAATTTTCAAAAATTGAAATAGACGCATTGCCATATTTGTTTTCATCAGTATAAATAAACTAATTTGATTATTTTAAAAAAACATAAATCAATGCCTGTTGATTAAAAATGAGAAATTTTTGAATTATTCAAAGGAAAAGTATAACTTTGAATTTCTATATTTTTTCAATTTTTATTATAAATTTTACACTTTTTTTAATATTTTTAGTCCCTATAATATTTTCATTTAAGGATTTAGAATATTAAAAAATAAAAATATAAAAACTTAAAATATTTAAAAAATATAAAAATTTATAAAAAAAAAATCGAATAACTTATAGAAATTTAAAATTATGTTTTTTCCTTGTATTCATGTGAAACTTTTATATGTGTGCGTGTGACGTTACGAGACCGAAGGCGATGAAGTGATTTGTTTTATCAAATAAAAAAAATAAAAAATGACTATTTTAACGAGGAGGCCCGCTAGTATGAAAATAAAAATGGTTTGCGTGTTTTGACGTTGACAATGGTGGGTGGGTTTGTGTGTGCTATTGCATTTATTTTTTCTTCGTTTGTTTTTTGTTTGTTTTTTTTTTCAATTCCTGGGTTCGCATATAATAATTTGCGGGTTCCTTATCCGGTCACAAGAACTTATGTTTGACCCAAAACACAAATTGTATGCATAAGAGTACTGCATGAATGTTGAAAAACTGTGGACTTCTATTTAATTTAACTGTAAATTTTGGGTATTTTAATGCCCACATCAAAATATAATAGGATTATAATTTTATATATAAACAAGTTATTTTTAATTTTTTTTTATAAAAATAAAGTTTAGTTGAATTGAATCATAAAATCCCGCTAATGTTAAGGTATGCTTTTAAGTTCAAAAAATATTTATAAAGATACTTACATATTATATACTAATAAAATTCTCATATCAATAACCATATATTATATTAATTTTTCAAATTCCATGTTATTCTGGTTGCCGAGGCGTGGACTAGTTTTTTATTTAATAAAATAAAAATACACAAAAAAAGAACACTAATTATCTATATATTATATATATTTCTTAAATTCTATATATGCTAAATGAGCAAATAACTCCATGAATTTTAGGTTCAATAGTATCATAGATCATAAACTCATTCAATATGTACATTATTCCTTTAACTTTTAAAATTGTGTAATATGGTCCTTACCATTAATAACAGTTAATTTTAACAGTTAATTGATTAAAAAATGATAAAAAAACTTCAAAACTACAGAAAACAGAAAATTATAATAAAAAAAACTCAAAAATTACATATAAGGATTTTAAAAGATAAAAAAAAGAACCAAAAATTTTTTGATCATTTTTTGAAGTTTATTTTCTTTATCATTTTTTGATTAATTAATGGTTTAAGTTAATTTTTATTTATGACAGTACACCATCTTCATTTTTAAAAAGTTAAAAAAAACAATTTAAAAGGATTTTTTTTTGTTGGGCTTTTGATTTCTGGTGAGGATAACAAGACTGTTGCAATAAATTTAAGATATTGGGTGTTGTTCACTTTCTCGGCCACTGAGTCAAAACTTTGAATTGCGACTGCCCTACCACTCAGTCTCTCTATATCATGACATGCATATGAGATCAAGATTCAAGAAGCTTCTTCATTTAAGGGGTTTATATAGAGTTGAATGATGCACGTTTTAATTACAGCTCAACCCGACGATGAAATGAAATTTGCTGACAAATTATTGTTAATTATATAAATTGATCAGGTGGGAACTAAAGTAGAATCAAACTTCTAGTCTTCCTTTGAAATAGCTTTTAATTGGTTTTCAAACTTTGACTTTTGACCCTAAAAGGGTCAAAATGTCTGCGCCTTTGGTTGGCCGTTCAATTCATGCATCCTTTTTTTTTTTTTTTTGATAAAACGATTCAATTCATCAAGTGCATGTATATATCCGCCCATATGGGTTATAATTAATGATGTTACAACCACTCGATTATGGCATACGTGCTTTTTTCAAACTATTTCTCCCTCCCATCCCAAATTCGCTTGAGCATTTTTGTTTGGTTATAATATAAAATTTCGTTTCCTTTTGTCTCGTGTTAATTTTTTTTTTATATGCAACCCATATTTACTGAGACATTTTAAATAGAGTTAAATGAAAATTAGATCTCAAAGATTCAAGAGTGTATGGACTTCTACATTTATTGTTAATACTCCCTCCATTTAAAAATATAAAGTATTTTTAATCAAATCTCACCTCAATAAAGTAGTTATCTACTTTCAAACTAACCTTATTTTTTAATATTTATCCCTATTAAACACCCTATAATAAATATAAAATTACTATCAATATGAGCACTTTTAAAATAAAGATAATAATTACACCTTAAAATATTAAAAATGCCTCACATTTTTTAATATCTAACTTCTCAAAAAAATATTTTATATTTTTTAACGGAGAGAGTATAATGTTTCCTTTAATATTTCAAAATGATACAACATAAAAATTAAAAAAAAGATCTAAAAATTATAGAAAATGATAAAAAATTACCCCAAAAAATGTTTATAAGAAAATTAATAAATTTTTTATAATTTTCTTGGTTCTTTTCCATATTTTTTTATCAACTAGTTATCAAAGTTAATATTTATTAATAATAGAAATAATATTGTATTGTTTTGAGATGTTAAAGGAAAACATTATATAAAAAATGAGTTTAAGGTTTTAGATGTTCTTAAACTTATGGTTTAAAGATAAATTTTTTATTTAATATTTTTAAATAATGTGTTATAAATTCTCTATACTCAATTTCTGATCTTATTTATAAGTAATTTTTAATATGTTTTACTAATATAAAAAAAATCTCATTAATTTTGTCTAAAGATTCAACAAATTTTTAAATTTACTTCTATTAAATAATAAATATATGTATTTCAAAAATGAAATACTTTAATATTTAATAATGTTCACTGCATGACAAAAAGGTAAAAATAAATATAGTAATCATTGATATGTTTTATAAATGGAACCAAAATAAAACTTTTTTATTATATAAATAAAATCACAGGAGTATATTAAATACAAATAATCAACTTAATATATACAAATAACATATATATATATATATATATATATATTAAATAGAAATAATGAACTTAACTATTTATATGGCATGAATTAGTTAAAAAGATCTTGTATTTAGGATCAAAGGGACTAGTATTACATAAGCAAGCGTGCCTA